AAATTTTGTGAAGATTTCGGCATCAAAAGGCAGTTGACAGCAAGTTATACCCCTCAACAAAATGGGGTAGCCGAAAGGAAAAATAGAAGCCTTGTGGAGATGGCAAAAAGCATGCTGAAAGCAAAAGGTCTTCCAAACAGTTTCTGGGCAGAAGCAATTCACACCGCAGCTTATATTCAAAATCGCAGTCCTACAGCAGCTTTGCATCATCAAACTCCTTTTGAAGCTTGGCATGGCTGGAAGCCCAAGGTAACTCACTTTAAAGTTTTTGGGTGTCTAGCTTATGTTCATGTTCCATCTCAAAAAAGGACAAAATTTGAGGAAAACAGTGTGAAGTGCATTTTTCTTGGTTATAGTGATGAAACTAAAGGTTACAGATTTTATAATCCTATTACCAAGAAGTTACTAATCAATCGTGATGTGATTTTTTATGAGAAAAATTCATGGAATTGGAATGAGAAGAAAAGTCCAGGTTCTATGTTGGTTGATGGCATTTTGGAGGCTAATCCAGTGATGACAGAAGGTGAAATGAGTGAAGGTCAAAGTTCCTCTACACCTAACAGTGGCAGCAGATCATGTCCATCCTCACCTGAGACACCTCCAGCGCTAAGGAAAGCAAGGAGAGTAAGATCCTTGGTGGACATCTATGAACAAACTCAAAGGTGTCAAATGGCACATGTGGAGGAGCCTAACTGTTTTGAGGAAGCAACGCATAATAGAAAATGGTGCAAAGCTATGGATGAGGAAATGGAGGCCTTGGAAAGAAATCAAACATGGGAGCTTGTGGACTTGCCTAAAGACAACAAAGTTGTAAGTCTGAAGTGGGTGTACAAGACCAAGTACAATTCTGATGGGTCAGTTCATAAACACAAGGCTCGATTGGTTGCTAGAGGTTACATGCAGCAAGAAGGTGTGGATTTTGATGAAACTTTTGCACCAGTTGCCAGGTTTGATACTATTCGAACTGTTTTAGCTTTAGCTGCTCAACATAAGTGGTCTGTTTTTCAGTTTGATGTGAAGTCAGCTTTCTTGAATGGATTCTTGGAAGAAAATGTGTATGTACAACAGCCTCAGGGTTATGAAATTGAAGGACAGGAGCAGAAAGTGTACAAGTTGAAGAAAGCACTTTATGGTCTGAAGCAAGCACCAAGAGCTTGGTATGAAAGAATTAATGCTCATTTTTGCAGCCATGGATTTCATAAAAGTCCAAGTGAGCCTACTTTGTATGTTCAGACCAGAGGTGGAGATGAGGTACTGTTAGTGTGTCTTTATGTTGATGATTTAATATACACTAGCAATAGCTCTTTTTTGTTGAAAGAATTTAGAAGAATGATGGTTAATGAGTTTGACATGACTGATCTGGGTTTAATGAGATATTTTTTGGGGTTGGAAGTGGTTCAAAATGGTGAGGGAATTTTTATTTCCCAAGAGAAATATGCTAAAGATCTCCTTAAGAAGTGCAGAATGGAAGATTGCAACTCAGTGGGAACTCCAATGGTTTCTAATCAAAAGTTCAGTTTGGATGATGGAGAAGAAAAGGTTGATGCTCATGCCTATCGCAGCCTTATTGGGAGTCTTCTTTATCTCACGAACAGCAGGCCTGATATTACTTTTGCCACCAGTATGCTATCTCGTTTTATGCAGAATCCAAGTAAGACACATTATGGAGCAGCGAGGAGGATTCTAAGATACTTGAAGGGGACAATCTCTTTTGGCATTTTATATGCCAAAAATGAACAATTTAATTTATTTGGGTACTCTGACAGTGATTGG